ATATCAGTCAACAATTGGTATTCCAACCCAAAACCTATATCCGCTGGACAACCCCAAGTATCCAAGTATGGATTCTGTACATGGATATGAATTAGAAACTGCACAGTTTATTTACATTTACATTTTTAATTAAAGAAACCAGAATAGTAACCAAATGCTCCAGCAAAGCAATTGTGTTAAAATTTCTGTATAAATTGTTTCCTAAGCGCTTCCCCCCACAAACGCGCGTAAAGAGGTTGTGCTTTCGATTAGCGGCTTGGCGTGCGAGGTCGACCTTGGAAGCATCACAAAAGATAGACGCTCATGAATTTTGTTGCGCTCAGACTACAGCATGTTCAGGATATCTTGATAGCTCCTCACCACGCCATGGCTATCACAAAATCTCCGCGGAATTTGTTTTTCAGATTCCAAAATACAAATCTGACGTCTGAAATGTTACTTCAGCGTGTCACGCGAAGCTGAGGGTACGTACCTTCATGTTTTTCAACGGTGTGGGGTTCTGAGAAATGAGGTAGTACGTAGCAAAGAACGTGCCAAGTAATACATGCAAGTTTGCTGTTTGATGGAATGGCGTTTGTGGGGTCTACCTGCAGAAGGAGAGCGATCCAGAAGAAAGGCAGATCAGAGCTGCAGAGTTCTGCAATAGACTTGGAACCAGCAAACAAATAACGTATGTGAGGCATCGCTCCAAAACTTTTGACGATCTTGTCTAGGATTATATGAAATGCTGAACCAAAATCAATGAATTCCCCTTGCGAATTCCTTCACGTGTTCTTTCTTTTGCTCCCGGGAAACTAAAATTTGCAAATTTATTGTAGTTTATAATGAAGACCAAGTACATACTGGTTCCGAGGTCTAGTGGTTAGAGTTTAACGACGAGGTTTTGAGGTATAACGGTTTGTAACTTCACGTTGAAACTTGCTATAAATAAAGTATATTACTTGTTTTAACATAGAAATGACAGTGTAAAACAAAAAGTGGCTATAACACGAAACAAAAATGCTAATGGAAATAAAATTAAATTTTAAACAATAAAAATAAATAATCTGATAGCGAAACGATAATCAACTAATGTGCAAGAAGTGGATGAGAAAAGTATGCAGTACAACTAAACAGCAAATAAATTCCAAATTGCAGACATCACAACACAATTAAAATAAGGAGAAAAAATCACTCGGTAATGTTTGGTGTACATTGTACCAAACGTGTCGTTCAGTTGTTGGTTATTAACCATGTGTAATTTTTTCTCGTACGTAGTTTTTCATTTAAGACCTTTATAATTGAAACATTCAGAGTTGGAGATCTCTAGCGTCCGCTCCCGATTCGTCATCTTTTGTTAACGTTCTTCAGCATCTGATGGTAACGGATCAATCTCTTTCAATGGCCTTGTTGTATTGGATATGGGGAAGAGTAAGGGGTGATAGCCTCCATTGTTCGAAACGCCAGTCTCGTGCTGATATATTTTTGAGCGTCCTGGTTGTAATTTCCTTGGCCACCTGGATGCATCTGGCATTTTGTGGTGGTGGGGGGCGTTGTTTGCGGCCGCCTCTGGGTGAGCGCCTCGTCGCCCGAGCGCGCTGCTGAAAGCGCCTGGCGGGTAGGCAACCCGCCGCGCGGGAGCGGAGCACCCTCCGCGGGGCGCCTGAATAGCGCGGGCCGCATTCGATATCCGACCTTTCAGCGCGCGCTTCAAAGAACCAAAGCGGGCGGTAATGCACACACGAGGCGGGAAGCTCTTGAAAGAAACTGCCCTGGATTCCAAGATCTCAATACGGAGTGCATGGCCCTTTCTTGGAAGGGATTTCCATCATCGTGATGGATCTGTGGGGGAAGTGCTAAACCTTGTGGCACAAAAATTTTTTGGTTCTTTTAGGAATCATCAGGATCACTGTCGAAGCCTCAAATAGAATTACAATACCAACTTTTAAATGACAAAATTATAATTTATATTACATTATAATTTATTTATAATTACTACACAAGCCGTAGGAATTCTGTTCATTAGGTGTGAGTATTAACAGCTCACTATATGTCGTCCACATGTAATACACATACGTTTCGTTACAACACTCTGCCAGATGAGATTAGTTAAAATCATAACATAAGTTTTTTTAAAGTAAAATGATTTCTCCTACGTAACTATTTCTGTACAATTAAAAACTGCACTGACCACTAAAAAGGAAAATTATGTTTATTTGGTGTTAAAACATTTACCGAATAATAACAAATGTGTTCAGGAAAAAAAGTAGACGCACAGGTTTAACGAGGATCCCGACATCAGGTTCCACATTAAGGGAACATAAATATCAGTAACGCGCTCCATATATTTTCCCTAAAACGTACATTACAGGTTTATGTGGTGCTTTCGCTTCACGCAGAACGCTCTTCGGAGAAGCATATTAAAATGCAACGCGATGGCTAACGTAGATCCAGAAGTGGGGGGGGGGAGCTGGGACACAACGTGCAGACCGGGGGAGATACCTATGCCCAAAGGAGGCAGCGTGCGTCATCAGTTCGTCATGGAATGGTGTAAACGCTATGTTGCAATTATTATTTTTATGGTTATTGTCATTTCGTAGTCGTCCAATTATTGCTATATTGTTTTATGTGATTTCACCCTCACTTTCTCAACATTTCGGGAATGCGTGATATTATTTCGTCTTGTTCATTTTTTATGATTGTTAATAGTATTTTTAGGTTATTTCATTATTTCGTGCTTCCTGCTATGGTCATTAGTTCATAGGTGTAGTGTGTGTGTGTGTGTGTGTGTGTGTGTGTGTGTGTTTATCACGGGAGATGGTGGCGCTCTTCCCCTCCACGATCAGGCGCCGACCTACACATTGGTTTACAGGGGTTTTCCCATCCAGGTACCTCCTACCAACGGGGCTCCGTCTCAATCGGGACAATTTCTAATCTCCCGACTGGTCTCTCGGCGAGTATGATAGTGTAGTGCACTTAAGTGTGGGTGAGAATAGGACAAGGGAGAGAGGAAGGAAAGATCGCACGCGGTCCATGAACCATTTGTTACGGAACTGCTCTGGCATTCGTCTGGGGTTGATCGGAGAAAACACGGAAAAACTGCCGATCGGAGCAGCCGGCCGCTGGAATTGTCCCCTAGACAGCAGCTGAATGCGACTTAGCTATCTAGCCAGTGTCGAAATCCTGCCTTTGTCGGGACTCGAACTGTTAGACCTTCGGGTCAGAGGCATTGCAGTTCAAGCCACCTCAGCCGGTACGATCTTCCTTTAGGGAAGGTGTCTATTTTAAAAGGGTTCTTTTAAAGTTCATTATACCTCTACTAACATTTATCACATAAAAATATGTTTACTTTGAATTGTCGCGAAAATAATGTAGACTAAAATATGTTTTTAACACCTTTATTAGTCCATATTACAATATTTATGCGAATAATGTTTAATAAGTTGGATATTAACGTAGTTTTAAAAACATATTTTGGCGTCAGTTTAGTGATTTCCCACTTATATTCTTCATTTGAGATTGTTGAGTATATTTCATTCTATTTGTTACTACGTATTAACTCGTTGGAAATAAACATAAAATCATATAAATTTATTAGCAGATGGAATAAATCCCATGAAAATTTCATCGTTAAATACATCTTACGTAATAAAACGAGTGAGCTTCATTCGCAATTACTGGATTTTGAAGCTCGTGAAAAAATAATTACGATATATTTTGGGCGTTAACGATTGTTCAACTTCCAGAATTAAAGTGGAAAGCCATAATTTAATTTTAACTTCGGCAAATATGAAAATCCAGCAGTTAATTTCGTTATTTTAAATTTGTAAATACGAGTTAGTACCCGAGGGAGAGAAATATAGCTTCCATGTGCAGTTTATTAATGCCAAAGAGAGTTTGTAAGCGTATTTTCTCATTACAGAAATTGGGCCTTCTTGAAAGAATAGGATTCAGCAGGTAATGATAACTCCCGAACAGCCAAAATTAACGAAAATTGTTTTAAGGTTTCACCAAAACCATATTTTAAGGTTTTACGAAATCGCACGGAAGTTTACAGATTTTTCTATCATTATAACTGCAATTTACTTATAATGTATTAGGGATTAAGTTAATTTCATTTTATAAAATATACAATGAAATCTGCCGTTAACGGATATGCTTGGAGCCGAAAAATCTCTGAAGCGAACTTTAAAACTCTGTTACGTTTTCGCACCCGAATAATTGTAGACATACTACTGTAATCCCTTATAACAAAGCCATCCATGTATTTCGCAGTTCACATTATTTTTCTCTCTCCTATAATTTTTCTCACATAAAATTCGCCCTATCGGACCTCCTTAACAGCAAAGGGAGGTCGGTTCTTAGCCGTGTATAGCCCCAAACCAAAACCTAAAACAGACAGAACGTATTACGCCTCGTTTTGGTTCACTTATTACTCCATTTCAAACTAATATAACTTTTGATTGCTTAAAACAATGATTTGAAATTTGGATGTTTTGAAATGACATATTTTCTGAAAAATGTGTAATTTTTAATTCTGATAAATATGTAATAAAATATGTAAGTATTTTGTGAGAATAATTTTCCCTTTTTGTTGTGGCTTTGATGTATTTACAGCATGAACCCTTTCCTTGTGGGCAGAGCCCATCAACTGGATTCTTATGGTTTGATGGTTTGTGAAATAATGTTGCCGACACGTCCTTATTATTATTACACTTTTTAGACCAGCATTTCTTCTCGTGTATTGTTACAGAAAATTAATTTGTATGTCAATCGACCCCTTCCAGAGAGTGGTTTCCGATCATCAAGCTTTTTCCCTTTGAATTTATGCCTTAATTTTCTGAGTCTACCCCTGTCATTTTCACAGCATTCTACTAATTAATGATTTTTGTATCCTAGACATCAGTTCCTTGAACTTTAAAAAAACCTGCAAAGTCTCTTTCCGAACTCGTCAGGTAAATAACTATTCAGAGCAGTATGTGTGTTGGTTTGCTGAGCGTGTGCGTGTCCCTGTGTTGCAGAACCGGGGCCACGGGCTGGACATGAACGTGCAGCCGGCCTGGCAGCAGGGCGTGAGCGGGCGCGGCGTCGTCGTCACCATTCTGGACGACGGGCTGGAGAAGGACCACCCCGACCTCTACCGCAACTACGTGAGTCACCCTCCATTGCCTCTGTGTCTTCTGTACCACAAGACAAGAAACAGACTGGCGGGCATTTCAGCGCGGAGCAGAAACCACCGATTCTAGAAACGTAGAATTTGCACTCGAGTGTACATAGAATCCTGTTACAATGTGTGTAACCACTGAGGCTGGATAATTCAAGGTTCAGCTCCTGAAAGGGTGAAATCATTTTTCTTTAATACAGTCTGGAACGCACTTAGGCCTAACAGATTGGAAGGAAGCGCAGCGGAGCGGGGGGTGGAGGGAGATGGGGGCGGGGCGGGAAAGCAACGAGTGGAGTAGGGTGGAAGTGGGCGTGGTGGATTGGCAGTGGAGTTTCAATGAAGTTATCTCCATTTTACACGATGACAGTTCTAATTTCTTTTTCTGTCTTGCAGATGATTAGGATAATTAAATGACCGGGCAACGCCCAGTTCTGTTAGCGAGAATTATAAAACACTTTATTTCTTACTGATACGTTATACCTTGTTATTGCCGACATACACTGCATAACTTTTCAAATCGAAAGGATCGTGGTTATGAGGAAAATATGAAAGCTATTCTGAAAATATGAAAGGTTCTCTTATTGAGGGAATTATGGGAAGTAAATATGTAAAGACAAACCGAGTAAAGTTTAACATATAGTTAAGTAGTAAATAATTATATCTGAATCAATAAAAGAAGTTAAAAATAAAATTAACTGGTTCTAATGATCTCGGGCGACAAAAAGGCCATCGGGCATTTTGCCGTCGTTCGATCATTAGAACCCTTACAATGCCTTCGTGCATAAATCACTATTTTTTGGTACAAGATACTGGCAAGACCAATAGTAAATACACACAGATCATTTAATTTTTGTCAAAATACTTTAATAATGAAAGAGTTGTAACACACTTTTTTTTTTCAAAATATTGACGTTAGCTATTTCTTTTTAATGGGACACATTCCTTTCATCAATGTGCGTGCAATTCAGAAAGGGTTTATATGAAAATGACTAGTCCAATTGTTGCTTTCAACCCAGATAACGTATCCTGTGTCAGTCGGAAAAATCTGTTGTCGGTAATTTAGGGTTTTGAATTAAAAGCTATACATTCTCAGTTTCAATTTCTCATTTGAACGAAAACATGTCGGACGTTCGTTATGAAATAACAGAATAATTTGTTCTCGGACACGTATCTGTTTGAGAAACAGATTTTCACATGCATTTGCACATGACCCTCGAAAATAAGTGCTGATACTAGCGGATGATCTAAGAGGTAAATGATAACAGATGAATAAATCGGAAGGATGAACGGGCCAGTCACATTTGCGCCGTTGTAGTTGAACCATTTTAATGGAAATATGTTATAAATAATATCTGACAGGACGTGTAGACATGAATTTCTTATATATTTATTTTGAGTGCAGTAATTGCCATTGGATGTAAAATGTATGTACAAAATACATTTGACCATTTATATCGTCAGGCCATTCTTTAGATTGATTCTCAAGTATTTTTTCAAATAGCCGCACTGTGATGCCAGGTACATTTTTAGTTTTCAAAATGAATACTCGCCCAGTTCTACACGATAACACATTGTTCGAAAACTAATTTTGAAGCTAGTTCTGATATTATTTCTCAGTGGTGTATTGATGCCGTAATTAAGTCACTATTGTTCCGACGAAATTGACCCAAACAATGCAAACACAGTGCGTAATTACTATAGTTACACTTTAACGTGAAAACATCAATCCAAGTGAAGCACCGTGCAAACAAATTTTCCAGGCACTGTGGCGGAACGTTTCCATAAACGCGCTTTGGGCGAATGAAGCTACTGGGTGTATGGATCCTGAATAGAAACCTTTTCAGCTCGGACACACGTCCATTAATCACGCTAATGAAGCTGTCTCGGTTGTAACAATTTCAGATTCATGGGAAATTAAGCAACATGATTTGCAATTATATAAGACTAGCGTGCCCGTGCGAGAACACTCGCATGTTAATCCCCTCTCTTTCCCTACCCATTTTCCTATTCTTTTCATTAAGAAAGGAAGTTGTGGCCCCTCGTTATTTGTTAAAAAAATATATAAATGTAACTTCGTACTTACACAATGTCAAAAATAAAACCAATGCAAGACGTTGGAAACAAATTTCCAATAAAGGTTTATTCAGTATTATAGAGATTTGTTCTTCAAACAATTGACACTCCTTAAAAACTACATTTGAAGTAATTATTTAATCTTGCTTGACATTTAACTTTTCGCTCTCCTTGATAGCCACATTAGAAAAAGTTTTTTTACTCTTGAGGAAGCCAAGTAAAGTTTTCCATGCGAAAATACAGGATCAGGCAAGTACAACCCTAATCTTTGCAATATTTAACTTTCCTGGATTTGTTATGAGAAACAGAGGGGGTGGAGATGCAGAGAGCCAGCTTGCTTGGGTGCGAAAATAGAAAAATTATTTGTATATTTAATATATTAATATTTATTATATTAATATATATTTTTATATTAATATAAAAAGTATTGGATTATTTTCTGCGTTTTTACATACCTCAAGAAAAGCACTTCAGAGCAAAAAATAATAAAAATAATATTTTCACATTTCAGTAAGTATTATTTGTGACCTTTAGAAACAATTCAGTAGGCATAAATATCACTTCGGTATATGGTAATGTTCAAACGATGTTTCGTATTGAAAATCTATGCGAATTGAAACCTTAAGTTTAATATCAAACGGTGTATTCTTTACAATTTAGGGGTTACAGCGAAGCATTGATGTACAGGCTTCCAGATACCAACACCGTTCTTTTTAAACACATCCTTCACATTTTTAAAGTCGAAGTGCAACTTGTCACTTTTCCGTGAAATTCTTTCTTTAGAGACCTCATTTATAAAGATTGGTTTCGTGTGAGCCCCGCAAAAGGAATGTTTACTATTGAAATAATATAGAAGACGATATTTTAGTCGGACATACAGGTGCGACAGACATATTGACGCGTTAATTTAATTTTTAAACAGATTAAGAGTTTCAACGTGTTTTTGAGTACTCAAGAACGCTTCGAAGTGGGGGAACCCAGAAGATCCAAATGTCCAAAAACGTAACGAAGTTCAAAAGGGTCTCTTTGTGTGTGATCCTGGTAAAAAAACAACTCGGGCTTGAGCGCTTGTTCCCTCACATCTTCCCCGCACGTACTCTCGCGTGATTTTAGGTCTCTCGTGTTTCCTTCACTTTCCCCCTGAGTTCCCCCAGGGTGTTCCCATATGATTCACATGTTTTCTCATTTGTTCAATGCATTTTCAATGGCATATTCTCTTCGAATGTTCCCAAACGTGTGTTCCTTCCTGATGTTACTACCCACATGCTCCCTACATGCCCACTGCAAGCATAGGATCAGCATGTTTTCTTACATATTCACCTCATTACCAATAACATATTCTCTCCTAATGTTCCAAAAGTTACCCCGTAAATGCTCCCCACATGCTCACTACATGTACACATCGCACATATTAATCCGGAAATTAAAGTGGAGATTCGAAAATGTAATTAAATTTATTCATAACAAAAAAAATTGTACACGTTATGCGGCTGATTATGTAGTTGCTGGATTTTCACTTTTAAAACATTTTTTTAAAAATGGTTAATGTTCATTTCCGCCTGAAATATGGCATAATATTCTGGGGAAACACATCCTATAGATTTGAGACTTTTTTATTATAAAAATAATTGCACAATTAGCTAATCCCACCCACGTGATTCTTCGTAAGCATATCTTCATTAAGCGCGGAATCCAACCGTAGTTTTGCCTCTTGATTTACGAATCAGTGATTTTTGTCAAAAATGACTTACTCAAGGGTGGGAACATATTTTGAAAGAATACAGATGTCTATGACTATAACACTCGACGTGGTAATCGTATCCATCAGACGTCAGTATCAATAACTCACTACAAAGAATACTCACACAACACAGCACTATTTTACAACATATTACTCTGATGACATTAAACGATTAAAATCGATACACACGTTTAAGTAAAATCTTTTGTAGAACCTTCTTCTGTACAATCAAAAACAATACTGATCATCAAAAAGGAAAATAATATTGTTTTTTTACAATGATATTTAATAAATTACTTACCATTTAGACTGTATAATTTTAAAAGACTAAATATGCCTATAACGGTGTCTGAGTCTATGATCCCCATCTCGGTCATTTTTTTCGTCCAGTGTCCCTGATCCTTCGAGCAAGTGCTGAGATAGCCTCTTGTTTAGCTTCTAGGCACAAATGTAACTTCACTATCAGTGAACGTTTTCTAGAATTCAGTGAGAAATATAGTTATTCAAATTAACATTATTCATAATCTCGCGGGAGTAAGTCGATTCCTTCATGAAGGGCGCGATAATAGCTAAAAAGGAATGGCAGTTCTTTCCTCTTTGCCAATAGTTTTTATTATACGGGAACTAACACTTTTTGCCAAAAATCTCGTTCCTACCTGCATTCAATTTGAATAAGGGGTAGGGTAGAGATCCTACAATTAAAGAAAACGCATGAATTTAGAAAAAGAACGCAAAACACTCTTTTACCCCAGTACGTCACACATAGTTTTCACTGGTTTTGACGTTAAATATATAAATATTTAAAAAATATGATACAAGTTTAAAAAGTGCCCTTTTTTGCGATGGTATTTTTGTTGAGGTTCCCTTCTTTTGGGTATAGTGCGCCAGTGAAGTCTCTTTGCAGTGGCTGGTGAGGGTGCTAGCAACAGAAATTATGATTGTAGCACGAACTGCAGCTTGTAACAAATGAAAACATTGAATTGCGTGTTCAGTACAATCATAATAGTTGTTGCAAGTGTTGTCTCCTTCACTTGTTTCCCAGTAATCTGGTTGCTACGAACACACTAAATGCAAATTTTAAGGGATGCCCATAATTCTACTCGGTGCGGAGAGACTTTCGTGAGAGACTATACTCTAGTAGTACAGTACTGCCAATTTGTATGTTTATCGTC